TTGCACAATTCCCACCGTGATAAATCATTTGAATAATTAATAACGCATTTCATGCTATAAAAAAATAGGGAAACAATAACGAAGAAAAAACATTCCGATGATTGCTGCACAACTCGGCTTCACACTGGAGCCAGCAGACGTTATATTTTTACGATTTTTATTTTTTAGATTAGTTTTTGATTATTTTATTGGCGAATGGGGTGGTCCAACGATTTAAAAGTAGGTACCTTTATTAAGTATATACAACTATAATTGAGAGATATTTAGAACAATTTGCTAAGTGTAGTTGCGAGTTGGCGATTAACCGCAAAGACGACGGCAATTTGTTTAATTATTTGCTAAGTGATTGAGGAACTACATACCCATGAAACCGGCGTATGCCTAATTCTTGCGGCTTAAACCCCGTCGGCGCACAATTACGAAATTAAATAGAGGTTTTTCTTCTCATTACGCAAACCACTAGTTAATATCACAATATTATAAATGATTTGAATTAAAACGAAAATCCGACAAAAATAATACACCGCGCGAGGTGTATTTAACGGATCCTCGATTTCGGCCTAAACCTATATATATTTCTAATTTATATATTACATAACATACACACGTCAAACAGCGTATGCTAACAAAACACAAGACGTACGTCGGCCGACGATATTGGCTGACGTGCCGTAATCTATATATTATAATACATCAGAAGAAAATATTATTATACATCAGGAAAAACAGCAGGAAAATCACGACGTCACTATAATAGGTATATGGTTGCAAAATATTATACAGAACGCGTGTACGCCGTATTATTTTTAAGGCGTAATGTGTTACGTGGAAAAAGTTCTCAAGCGCATGTGAACTTTTTGTATTTTTTTCTGCTTCCGTCAGCCAATAAGCGCATTCATCACTGCAAGCGGTTTGCATCATTTTCGCATTACGCTCCATTCGCCGTAGCCGACACTTGCAACGAGCCCGCACGCACACGCGTTGCTCAATACCGGAGGTTTAATAATTATTATCAATTTACGCATTATGCACGTCGAGATGTTACTTTTTTTTTTTTACGATTATGATTATATATTTTTTTCTCGTCGGCCGCAGAAGAGATAGTGTTTCTCTCTCACTCTGTCTCTCTGTCTGTCTGTCTGTCTGTCTGTCTGTCTCTCTCTCTCTCTCTCTCTCTCTCTCTCTCTCTCTCTCTCTCTATAATATATAACGTAGGTACACTATACGCGCAGATGACCCATATGGTGGGCAAACGCGGGAAACAGGTTAGCTAATTTACCGATGCATTTCACTTTCCCTACTACGTACGCTCCGCGCCGTATAATTTACCATAATAATATATAATATGTTATTAAATTGCTGTTTACCGCTGAATTATGCTAAACTATGTTTATATATTTAAACCGTGAATTTTGCCAGATAAATTCCGTTTTATAACATGTTTTTCTCATTTTTTGCCTATGCGATGCTCGGAAAAAAAAACACACACACAAAATAATAATAATAAATTTATGTGAAATAATATCATTGCTATATTCCTACCTAATAATATTTATACATTTGTATTAGTTTTATTATCGGGACGAACCGACCAAATAATATTATAATATACCATAGAATAATTATTATCGTGGTGTGGTATAACAGTTCGTTGTCAGTTCTTTGCCATCGTATATTTTTATTACGTACCTACAGATACAGAGTAGGTATTATCTTTTATTTTTGTTGAATCCGTTTTATAATTACTAAAAAAAAAAAAAAACGATACAAAATAATGTTCTTTGCATAAGACATAGGGAATCATGAATAATTTCAATGTTATGGGTGGGCTACTGCAACAGGTCCAGCGCCATTAGCCATTATTTAATATTAATTTTATTATACACTCGGACGAAAATACTAAAGCTCATCTGTCAGTAAGATCGTAGACACATGGTAGGGTATATGGGAAATGGTTCACTCCATGACCTTTTTTTTTTTAAAAAAACTGCCTATCTGATTTTTTCATTTACAGTTTATGTTACATAAATGCAAAATGTAATATTTATTATCTATTAAATTTGTCGAATTATAAGAAACTCTGTTTAATATTATATATATTTATGTATATTTACTATCTATTTAGTAAAACATAAGAAAACATAATTTATACTAAAAACAGAAAGACGTCCAGGTAAAAATCTAGGTTGAGATAAATGTATGTCTAAGTAAAAGGTAAAAATCAGTGATGCATTTATGAAAATCAAAATGTTCAAGGCTAGAGACTTCCCCAAATGCGAGAATAGATGCCATTCAACTTTGCAACATATAACATAAACAAAATATATAATATATAAAATATATATTACACATATATTTCCCAATAATTAGGCACAACGCAATTATTGAAAGTATTTTGCACACTTCCTGTTTCAACGGATACATCTGAACGGATGTTTCCTTGCGTTAAAAAGTTTAAAACTATTTAAGAAATACCACGGGGAAGCAAATACTTGTTTTTAAAATTAAACGAGTAAAAGTTTACTAGATAATTTCAATTTTATTTAGACTACTGCGCAGTCTACTTTATATAACAGTGATTAATGGTGATCAGCTGTTTGTTAAGTAGGTATTTAAATTTTAAATTGCGTTACTGTGTGGTCGTGATATGTATAATATATAGAAGTATATTAGAACTACCTTATTGGACTGACCATGATAGCAGTACAACAATAATAATATTGAAGACTTCAGACGAAATATTGGTTGAGTGAAAATAAAAAATTAATAAGCTATTGCTATAAATAAGACAGTAAAAAGTTTGACCACAATTACTTCGGTTATAAGGGTTTTTTTTTTACTGTTTGCAGTATAAAAGCGTTGCCGTATGATGATAAATATTAAATACATATAGGTACTACAGAGTTGACTATTACCTATGTTTGTTCTGTTTTGTGTAGGGACTTGATACTTGTAAAAATTTACAATTTGATTGCGTTGTATAAATATTATATCGTATTGTGGTTTACGAATACTATACTATATATGCCATCGGTTCCTTGCTTTAAAGGCCGTAAATAATTCCATAATCGTCAGCCATGCAGAGGAAGTCATGTGTATACGCCTCTGCAATGATTGACACTGTATGACAGGACAGCCCTCATTATTTATACAAATATCAAATATTTGGAACAAAAAAAACCATAGATAAACATTAAACAACAATGAGAATTTCTTTATGGTGTGAATCATTTATTAAAAATAAAAATAAAAATAAAAAAACGGACATTAAGAAATTGAACTAAAATGTTACCCGAGTAAACAAAAGTAATAACCATCAAACAGTTTAAGCATTTTACAAGTTTGTAAAATTATGTTTAAAATGTATAATATAATATATCCTTTTACTTTTTTTTTTTTTAGTCATAAACTCATAACTATAGGTATACATATAGATATTGGTAGAATACCACTCACACGCTCACTCACTCACTTATGGGTACATCTCAAAAACTGCAATACCTACATAGGAACTTGAAATTTGGAATAGTGGTTCTTCTAATGATCTAGATGTGCAATAAGAAAGGATTATCCGAAAATGGCATTTTAAAGATGTGCTCAGACAGGGATTTTGAGATTCACGATGGAATTTTTTCGTTTATAAGTTATAACTAATTTTTTGAGATACACAAAGCGAAGTGCAGCCTATATGGCGTATATCATACTATATATACATATGATTTGGAATTTACGACAAAAAAAAAACGGCACACTGGCAAAGCCGTGATATTCAGCTAGTACCGTAAACATATAATAACTTTTATGTTGATGTTTATCTTTATAATATCATTAGACTATATTGAAAAAATGTGTGACCTGTACATATACTGTATGTCTGTATTATATATTATAAAGTCATAATCACATTTGATTGTAAATAAATATAGTAATGTATACGTAAACATTGTTATTTCTAAATATTTCTAATTATTTTATATACGTTTATTCAACAACAACTGTGTATATACAATATACATGTAATAATAATCGTTAGCCGAGTAGTTATAAGACGTAATGAAAATAAACAATCCAGTTTTATGTTTTCTTTATGCAAAACACGGGTATCTTCCTATATTATTTATTTTAAATGGCCTATTTAATTTAAATGCAAACATTTTTTTAGATTTTAAATGCAATCGTACTTATACTGATATTTTTTAGTTAACCGATGATTAACTTTGACAACATTTGAAATTATTGTAATATTATACATAGGTACAACTATTTTAATACTCAGTGAAGACTTCTGCCTGGAAAAATTATTAACACGGTTATCAACAAATGAGAAGATTAGACAGACGATAAGAATATTATACATGTACACATCGTGATTATCATATTAATGAGGTTTTTTATTTGCCGATTGCCTGATTATGATAATATTTAGCAGCTATTTTATAATATGTTCAACGTGATTCATTTCAATCAATAAATATTCAGAAGACTTAAAAGTCTGATTTTTAGCTATAAAAAAATTTAAGTAAATTAAATATCCTACATAATACAAAAAAAAAAAACAAACTTATAATTTTTCTTTCATTTTTATAATTTTGAAATAACATACACTTAAGCACTTTAAATTTAATTTCAAATATAATTATGTTACTACTGGCTATCTAAATATATTTAATTGTAAATCATTTTACTAAAATAAAATATTAATTTTCCATATTGAATGTATAAGACATTTCTTGTGTTAGTTTGTATTAATGAAAATTAATTTATAGACATTGTGTAGTGATAGTTAAAATATAAAAGTACAGTTTGTTTTTATTTGATATTAATTTGTATAAATATATAATACTTGTAATATAATGTTTTGAGTATTAAATCATTTCAATAAATTAAAAATGTAAAGAATTGTGTAGGTTTCATATCATAATTTACTTTTAGTTTGCATATTATTATGATGTTTATGAGTATCACCAGCGAGAAAAAAATATTTTTCTTCTTTGTTTTAGGATTAACCTAAGTGGCGGAATGCAGAATGTTTTAGGGAGGATAGCGGCCGCATTGGTTATTTTATGTCCAGTTATTGTCTTTTCAATACCGGAGTCTGCTATTCAAGCGTCATCAATCAAATCCAGTCAAACTGAACAAGTAAATAAACGTTATTTTGAATCGATTCTTATTTATACTTAATAAACATAAAATTATAACTTTCTGCACCTAAGAAAACCTTATTAAATAACAATTTAACTAAAATTATTCAATTTAAAATGTATATATTCAAGGTAACTACTTTTAAGCTTACCTACAGAATAAATACAACACGTGTAAATGTGTAATAACTAATAAATCTTACATAAGTGTCTAAGTGTCTAAGTGACTAAGTGTCTCGTATTTCATTAAACATTGAGTTCTGACAAGCAAAATCGTATGCCTAAATTATGTTTATGCTTTGAGTATAATTTGTGAGTGCTACCTATAGTAATAGAGAAGAAGGTATGCTTACTTTATATTTTTGAGGTATAATAGTACTTCATGAATACATTAAATTTTCAGAAAATACAAAAGTTAATTTTATTAAACATATTGTTTATACTTTTATTGAAAAAGAAAAATACATTTTTATGTTTCAACGTAATAGTATACTCTATGGTTACGATTGCACACACTATCATAATGTTTTAAAAAACATTTATTTATTATAGTTCATCAACAGGTACTTATGTCTTATATGCGAGTACAACTATGCGAGCTAATAATATTCAAATAATTTTTAACTGTATTAGGTACTACATTTTAATCATAACCATTGTTATTTATCAGCTCTTTATTTTAACGGTACCTACATACTTTTAAATATGACCATAGGATAACTCGGACTACACCAGGTCTTTCGACGAAGATCAAGAGGAGAAACGGGCATGGCGAGATTTGCAGACGGCTGGTTGGGGCAAACGTGGTTGGCAAAACTTAAAGACCACGTGGGGCAAACGGGCACAGGACTGGCAGAATTTGCACTCGTCGTGGGGCAAGAGGCAGGGCTGGCAAAAGTTACACGGCGGATGGGGAAAGCGCGGATGGAAGGACATGCAGTCCGGGGGCTGGGGAAAGAGGTTTAAGGATCAGGTACGTGTATTCTGGTATTCACACGCGTAGGCCGTTGTATAGAGTTTTACGATTTATGACGTGTGCTTGGCTGGTACTGCACTTTTCGCATATAATTATTATTATTATCATTATTGTTGTTGACGCTAGTAAAATGTGAAACGTGTATTATGTGCAGCAATTATATAATAATACAATATTCCAACCATGTTTATTTTAATTGAATTGTTCAATAATATTGTTGTTATAGCCCGCCAGTGGTCAATTGCCTCAGTTTGACGAGTACTTAGACAAATACGAAGATGAAAATCCTAATGATGTAGAAAAACGATCATGGGACAATTTCCAGGGATCTTGGGGAAAAAGAGCAGCTGATTGGACAAGCTTTAGAGGTAAGCCGGTAAGCCAAACATTTGATCTAATTTAGTATAAGCCTGGTCATTATTGTTGATATGTTAAATGCCAAATTCTGTAATTTACAATAAATAACAATTGATCTGTCAAGGCTTATGTTTAAAAAATTAGGTATTTATTTTATATGTAATCTACGGATTAAGCTCTTTGAAATACATAATCCATTATTGTTTTTTTATATTTTAAGCAATGATTGGTATTCTTGATTTTAATTACTTCATATTGTGTATATTATTAAAATGCACCTGTTTAGTATATTTTAAGCACCATATATAGGTTTTAATAAAACACAACACTACGATGCTCGAAAATTCCTTTATTTTAGAAATCGCCCAAATATCTAAATTTTTTAATTTGTTACTAACCACTAAGAATTGTTTTTAAATATAAGCAAAATACGTTCCTACGTTATCAATTTATTATAAATATTGTATATAAATCAAATTTAAAATAAGCCAATTAACTCGCAATTTTTAATCACTAATCAGCATGGTTTAAACACATGAGTACATGGCAATAGAAGAGGTTTCCCTAATAGCTAAAATATTTCCCAAAGAGGTTCCTGGGAGCTCATTGAGAGAAGATTCCAAATACCTTGTTATTATAATGAAATAACAAAACTGTTAATTATTATATTATGGACGCGGTTATTATGGACAAAATATAGCTATATAACTACTATAATATAGTAAAGTTATATATTATTATAGTAATTCATTCGTTTTTTTTAAATTTAATATAATAATTATTTATACACTACAATATATTAAACAATCATTTTGATAAATGGTTTCTGAGTTATGTTAAGTGTTTATATATTTCGTGGCTCCCGTCTGTAGGCTCCAGCTGGAACCCTGTAGGTGAGTAGGTGTTCCGGGAAGCACCCTCGCTATGAGAGTTTAAAACTTAAATATACTAAGGGATGTTTCAAGTTAAAAGGATTATCATAACCTACATTTCAACAAAAGCATCGTACAGCGTTTTAATCTTTCGCGTTAAAATTAAAGTCATTAAAATATTAGGTTATATTCTATTAACATGTGCTTATGCAAAACCATGTGAAATGTGTTTATAAATTATTATATCAAACATTCTGCATTGCATTATTACACAATAATATGAATTATAATACACATTGTTATTTCACCATATTAATATAATATTATTGCCATAATATAATTACTGAGCCAAAACCTTTTATTTGTAATATTTTTTAAAGAAAGAACGATACATCCCCCTCTCTCAAAAAAAAAATGTACTAAAAGAAAGTTATATAACAGGTTAATGATTCTATTGTTGGTTTTTAACAGTCAACAACTTCAATACAAGAATAGTACATACAACTCGAAATAAAAGATTTATTTAACGTTAAAATGTGTTATCCACTTGGAAAAATTTTCAATCGAATGAACCAATAACAATTAATGTTTGGAATGTTTGATATTAATATATTATTGATATAGTTCAATAATGTTCAATAAATATAAACTCGATTAAAATAGTTTTAAAATATGTATATTGAAAACGATATTATTTTTATTGATAAAGTGCATTACCTATGTAGTTTTAACATTAAAAAAAAAAATGTATTATTTAACATAATTAGTTCTCATTACCTTACCGTTATCCTTACCTACGTCATAACGTATACCAATATTATGGCACAACAATGTAATATTTTAATGCACATAAGACTATAAGAGGGGTAGCTGTTCTTGATAGAAAAATATGCATAGCATGTATAAGGTGGTAATAGCTAAACAAAATTATACTTTTGGTTATTATTCATTATTACATAAAATAACACGGAGATTAGGGTATAAGTGGACATTTTAGTTACGAGGGTTGCATCTATATTTTGACATGACTTTTAATGTTAACAAAACCCGTTTACCAGGATATTTAAATATAGCTACAAGTACCTACTCTTGACCAAATTTAGTTTTAAACGAACGCCGTCTGACTGAAACCATTTATTTTTATTGAGACATACTTATATAGTAAATGCATATAGTCTTGTACGATTTAAAATTAAAATAAATTGTTAAATTGTATTTTATAAATAATTATAATATTTTAAAAAGGATAGTAAAAAATTCCTTCTAAATGAATTTTAGTATAAAATAGTTTACAAAATAAACGTACAAAATCTGGACATCTAAATTTATCATACAAATTTATCCAAATATATTCTTTGAAAAAATAGCATGTTCTAAAATAATCTCGATATCCCTATTCAACGTCACTCGTTCAAAGATAACTGATATATATATAGTATATCCTGCAATGTTTTAGTTAAATCATTTTAAATATACCTATGGTGAAAAATCTGGAATTATATAGATAAGAATCCATTCTAAAATCAATATTTTAATTTCTCTTCCCTGAATCTAACATAATATAACTTATATAATGTAAGGAAAATAATTAATATTCATGTTCATTAATTAACCTTATAGTAAATTTTAACCATTTAATTTAAACATATTAGATTTATCATAATACTATTATTTTATTAAAGCATAGTACAATTTTACAAATGGCCTATATGCGCGCAAGTATACCTATGTAATAATAAAAAAAAAATCCAAAGAATTTATTTTAAAAATCCAAATTATTAATATTTATTAATTAGTAATTATGCCATACTTTAACATGATGACGAGAAAATGTGTTATATTTATAGTTTGTATAATATATTACAATTTTAAATCATATAAGTAATACTTGTAACACAGTGACTGCTGCAGTTGCTATCGGCAGGCAACTTATCAACACTGTGCTGTTTAAAGTGTTGTAAATATAAAACGAATAGACTGATACACTCATTGTGATGCAGTTTATTATGAGCGTGTAATTTAAAAAAAAAAAAGTGAATAAATAATAATGCAAAAATATATATTACTTATAATATACTTTGTGTGCAAACAGGTTCGTGGGGGAAAAGAAATCCCGTGGACTACATGAACGAGTACTCAGGATACGGAGACAGCGATAATTACAAAGCTTATATTTTTCCGCCAGGTAAATTACGTTTAAATTGAATACTTAATGCGCTTACTACCCATTCGTTTACAATATGGGTTCAAAGACGATTGTTACGCTTGTGATTTGAATTGAAAATGTGTGCTGAGCACCTGCCACTGTATTATATAGTCATTCGCAACAGGTGTATGTATTACTTTGTTAACAGTCGAAGTAATATATATTAACGGTTTCGAACGAACATTTCAAAACAGTTATTCGATAAACGTTATCGGGTGTACAATGCACAATAAAAGTCCAGCATAATTAGGTATTGTTGAGTATCAAAGGTTTTTTTTTGTGCGAGGGGGAGGGATAACAGTCGCATCATTTTGTTTTATGATGTATCTGAACGATTAAAAAAATATTTTTAGGTACGTTGCATTATATTTGAACTTAGAAAAACGATTTGTCAAAAATTACAAGTACCTAATTGTACGTTTTCAAAAAAAATGTATGTATTATCATTTATGGGTATAATTGCTGCAAAAATTTAATTTTTCAACCACCATGGAAAATAATTAGTAAAGACAAGTGGTACTTTAAAAATCTTATTTATGGAATTTTCCAATAGTTTTCTAGAAAATACGAAAACTTGTGACTGAAAATAGTTTGGCAAATCTGGATTTGATTCCCTATTGGGAGCAAAACTTTTTGCATTTTATTTCATACATGCAGAAACGTCGATGTTAGGCTTTGTACAGACATTTTCAATTTTAATTCCAAATACTTTAGAAAGTTTAATCATATAGCATGTTTATACCTATAAAAATATTGGAAAATGTGGCATACGAATTTTTTTTTTTAAATACGAAGACATATTTCACTGTTTTTACGAATAACGAAATTACTGTTTAATTTTATAACGATATAATATTTTTATTTGTATCTGTATATGATTCATATCCGCAGTTATTTAACTCACAATGTAATCTAATTTACGAACTTTTCAAGTTTAGATTCATCAATTTTAATTTTTTTTTTAAAACCCTATGTAGTCTTGTGTCTTTTCAGTCTATGATTTTCTTTATTTTTCAGTCATATATATTATAATATCATTGTAATTGCCTCAAACGCTACCTATATCTCATGTCTCCTCTAACCTCTTTAAGCCCAGCCTGTATCCACGGTTGAGTGCTTATCATTAAACCCTTAGTCTATTGACTCAACAACGAAGGTCTTAATCCACACATGTATTTACAATATATAAGTTACACCCATAATATTATGATGATTCAAATCTCATCGCAAGTAATCTGCAGAACCCACAATCTCATTGCTGTAAATTTCTTCCCAAAATTTCATTATTCGTTTCCCATTTGCAAATATCTCCGCTTTCAATATTCTGGAAAATATATAATATATAGTGTTTGACGTGACCAACTCGCTCATTCGCGATCCTGCATGAACCCAAAACATGACCTTCATTGCTCATTTTTGATTACTCATAAGAGTGATAAGTCGCACTATTAGTGTGACCTAGATGAACTGTATTATATACTAATTATTCATATTTACCAATTATTCCTACCATAATCTGGTCAACCCTACTTCTAACTATAACGCGATGATTTTAGCATTTTACTTCTGCGCAAATCACTTTTTTATCTACTTGCTACATATACCGTCTTTCTCACCGAATCTGACGCCACCCAACTACTCCTTTTTCTCCTGGATAATATGTAATACGAATTATAATAATGTCTTTGTTGAATTTTATGAATATCATACATAATGAAAACTATACTACAATATATTTTTTGAACATAAGCACTAATGAATATATTTTTTACATTTCAGGTTACAATAGTTATTTACCCAACTTCCAAACGGAATACGAAAAATGAGACGTCAATTCTCAATTTTTGAAAGTATACTACCACGAAAAAAATATTAACTATTAGCCCTAAACTTACAGACTATATTATACTTATATCAGATTGTGAAATAAAATTAATATATGTACCTATGCCTCCGTAATAATATTATTACATTCAAGTAATCAATTAAAAATATTTTTGTGCATTTATATATACTTTTTTTTTGTTCAGGTAAATATTAAATACTAATAACCAAAATTAAATAAATCTTTTTTTTTTATCTTGGGAACAAAAATTATGTTTCCTCACTCATAATATGAGCTAAGTAAAGGTTTAAAGCCATAGGCTTAATCTGTGGGGGGAACTGCCCCCTCAGATATTTTATTGAGTGGGTAATAGTGTAATTTTACCTTATACATTTTTAGTTTTACCACAGACTGTCTTTCTCCCCCCCCCCCCCCAAGAATTTACCACAAATTATGTCGATGAACTTATATAGAACATTGCAAATGCAAATATCTTCATTCAACTACCAGTACAATAAAAACCATTTTGTTACACTATAAATATGTTCAGGATCTAGTTTCAATAAAATAAATCACATACGAATCAAATTCTAAATTAAACAAATAATATCAACTTGCGAAAACATTTTACGTACACTTAACGAAAAAATGTATGCGCAGTTGGGTAACATGAAAACATGAAGTATAGGATGAATATTTAATATTAATAAAATTAATTATAATTAAAAAAGAGGTTGCGAAAAATTTAAACACTTTTAGTAGTTTGAGTATGAAATTACAATTGTTTTTAGATTTTGTTCAAACTCGTGCGGCTAATTAATATCAGTTAAGTAGACACCTTGTAAATCGTGTTAAATTTAAACATCAGCTACATTTACTAATGTTAATTTCCGCTTGTATTAATGGTTTATTACGTCTAATTATTCCAGCCCATCCAAAGCCTGCTACCTATGTAATTATTTATTATTATCATTATACAACAACATTAGGATGTAATATATACCATAAATTATAGAAAACAAAAAAACCAAAAACCACGACTAAGGCAGCTAATACGACGTTTTAGGTTTTTGTTTTCAACTAGAATTCCCATTATATTGTGTATAAAATTAAAATAATTTATACTTAAAAATCAATTAACTCACTAACCAGGTAAAACTTGTTTTCAAATCCGTGAAAAACAACATGTCAAAACGCGGTAAAATTGGCTAAGTTCAGGTGGAATTCATAACCCCGCGCTGGTTTTCAATTCTTAAATGTCAACAATGGAAGAATATACACATTATCAAAAAAAAAAAAAAACTTGTCGGTACATCGGGTCGTACATGCACATTCAAACGCTCAACTTCGTCCCCCATGTACAAAAACAATGTTATAATTGTTCACTGTAGCGTATCCGTAAGATTTCCGTTCATACATCGTTGAATTTCTCGGTATCAACTTCAACCGGAATAAAACATCTGTTTAACCTTAACCATTGTATATAACAATAATAAATTTAAGATGTTTTAGTAAAAAAACACGGTGTAGCGTACGACTCGAAGAAATGCGTAACATGTATTATTATTATCTGTGCACAAACACAAAATATAATATTATAATATAATATATTCACTTGCAACTATGATGGCACCTATCTACACGACCTAACCGAGTAAGTATAATATTTACACTATGCATACTTATACGTAATATTTAGACTTTAAAATAAGAAAACAATTAGAAAACAGTCCTTTAGAACTTATTATCAAGTATAACATTAATAACGACCTAAAAATATACTTATATTTCGAGTTCGCAAAGCAAAACAATAATACGTCCAACACCTACGCGTCTTTTCTCATAATATATACTCGAAACACTACAATGCCATATTATATCTGTAGTACCTACTACAGCAGGGGTAACCAATTAATACTTTCCGCGTGGGCCACATTAAGAATTCGGAAAATTCTCGCGGGCCATAAAAATGCGAAGTACATAATATTTATTATGATATGCCGATTGGCCAAAACTAATGTACAAAGATAAGAAATTATCGGCTTCTTTTCTCCCTGTCTGCGGGCCGGTTAAAATTCATCCACGGGGCCGCCATTTGGTGATCCCTGTACTACAGTGTACTAACCACGATTTAAGATAGTATGGTTGCCCGACGACCTATGATAAGATCGTTTTAAACTGGAAACCAAATTAAATAACCAGAACAGCTGGAAAATTGACCACTAGCGCTTGCGACATGATGTGTGCCAATATAGAAGCAGAATTTACGAGCTTATTATTTTTTCCCGCGCTTTACTAATATCAAATATGTACCTATTACCACAGTAATACAGAATAAATCTATTATGTGATATTATTCTCAATTCTCATAGATCCCTATAAAAACCACGATTTAAATAATGATAAATATTCCACTATACAATTATAATAACTATCTATTATCTTAGTAAATAGATTTATCGTCCATGATAAATACAAATTTACATCTTGACAAGATATAACAAAAATGTTATTATTCATAAAGTTTTAATATATTATGCTTAATTTTGTTGAAATTATTTAATTGTTTGTCGTGTTGTAATGTCGTGTTGTATACCTAATTGTCCTTCACATGACAAATATGCAAAGATTAGTTCCTTCAAAGTTCCATTGAATATTGTCTTACGGTCTGAATGGGAAAATGTCTTGGGTATTCCTTTAAGTAATAATTCTCGTGTTTGTCGTAACCATTTTAAGACACATGATGTAATAGACACATGGGAATCTGGAAATGGAATAAATAAATACACGGTTAGTACCATTACTTATAAATATATGTATAGTATATTTATGAACTGATACAACTATAGGTAAAAATATAACAGCAATATAATATATTTGTAGGTGTGTCTAAAAAGACCTAGACTTAGAGATGGAGCTATTCCAGTGAATTTATATATTGTTAACAATAATGAGTCGAATATTTTGGTAAGAATTTATAACTAAATAACGTTATGATAAGTTAAATAATAATATAACAACATAAACTCTAAGCATTTTTGTACCTAGTACCTAAACCTAACTAATTTATACAATATTTTATTAAAGAATGAAAAAATAAATAATATACAAGAATGCCCAAACTCTGAATATACTGTGGATACCAAAGATATAATATCTATAAATAAAGATCATTGTTATATATCAAAAGGTTCAGATTCTGATACACTTAATAAATCTCCATTGCCCAAGCGTAAAAAGGTTATAAGTATAAAATTAAAAACACAGTGTATATCAACATTAATGTGTCAATATGTTTGTATATTCTAACATTATTTTGAATAGGATGTACCTACTTAAAGTAATATTAAATATCTTTTTTAGACAATATTCCAATCATTACAATCACAGATTTAAAAGATGTCATTAATGACCCAACTAATTCTTCAGATAGAATTAATAAGATTGAAAAACTAAAAGAAAAAATTAATTATATTGTAGACAAGGGATGCTGGGATGCTGATGATGTTTTTACTGAGCATAATTATTCAAATTCTACTGTTTTTGATTGTATTGTGTATTATTTAGCCGGGTAAGACATTTTAATATAAGTACCTAGTTATTAGTTAGGTAAGTATTCTCTGAAATAATAAAAATAGATATTAATGTATAAATTGAATCATTTATAGATATATAGCAAAACAGTTAGTGGCACGGACTAAATGTGAATCGTGTAAAATATATTTAAAGAATATGAATACATCTTCAACTGTACCAGCAGCAGAATTAGTGAATGTAAAAAGTAGAGGTTACCTTACACATCCAAACACTAATTTATTTAAATTATTAAAGTCATTGGAGATATCTTTTGAAAAATTTGCTGACTCACCTACAGTTTTTGAAGATACATATGAAGATTTCTTTAGCAAAAATGTCAATATTAATTTTCCATACATTGAACATCAAACAGATATTATAACAGATATCTGCACATACTATCTGATTATGAGAATGAGGCAATACAGCTATCAACTAAACCAAAACAATAAAAAACAAAATAAAGTTAAAAAAAAACTTTCAAAGTTGGTTAGTACATGATGGATGGTATTATTAATTTTTTTTTTTTTTGTGTTTCATATAATGTAATGGTATAACATTTGTATTTTGTATACAATTTTTTTTGCTGAATAAATTTTAAATAGTTATTTGATTTATTATTTACAAAATACTAAAGCATAGAAAGAGATTAAAGTATTTTAATTTATATTTATCAAAATTGTTATTAATTACTTACATACTTCTAAGTTCTAAGTCATTCGTTATAATTTTAATCGTAAATCACGAAGAAAATTTGAAATACTAAACAGGCAAACAGCGCGCCAGTGCGCCACTCGCCAGTCGCCACTCTGCACGGTATTTGAGCTTATAAACTATAGCCGCTGTTACATTCAAGCGCTAGTGGTTAATTTTCCAGCTGTTTTTAATAGTGATTTCAGTAAACACTTTATCATGATTCGTTGGGCAACCATACTATCTTAAATCGTGGTACTAACTAAATCATAAATAAATTGTTTCCAATCAAAATAGTTAAATTATTATGTTTTACACTTATTATCGTATACATGGGTTTATTGTATGTTGTCACGCAGATAAAAGATACAAACCAATTTAAGAATTAAATTTATATTTATTTCGACTGCACGAAATTGAATGTTAAATTATGCATTTTAAAACTGCAATTTAATTTGCTGCGAGTCAGCAAAACATGCAAGCTAATATGATTTTATTATTTTTTTGTAGGAGTACACTCACTCTATACACCAACTCCGAGTAGACTGATGTGTGGAAAATTGGCCTACTACTGATTTTTAAAAGAATAATTACTTCCTTCGTTATTAATAAATAATCTTTAAAAATCGTCGGATGATATTTTTTTTCCACGCGACATAGAATCAGCTTAAGCGTTTAAAACTTTAATACACTGAACCAACATTAAACATCCATTTTGTCGTAATTATTTAATTTGCTTTTTAATCCTAAAATTTAGTATACTGCACGAACTGGCTATATCGTCTGACTCGTCTGTAGATTAATCAGCTGCGGTGAGTGGATATATAAATACATGCAGCCTAACTAATTTTCGTTGCATAGATAATTTAAAACAAAATTTTACGAAAAATACAGAACAAAACTAGTTGGCCTCCGTATTAAATGCACTAGCTATTGTTTGTTAAAACTGTCAGTGTAATAAATATTTATCGTGTTTCAAAAGGAGAAAATTACTATAAAGTTTATTTCAAAAAACAAACCCTCTATAGGGTGCCAAATGATATCATATTTTTGAATTCATATTATACATTTACTCCAATATCCTCTAAAGTACTGGTGGAGCCCAGCGAAAAAAAAACTGAACTCGTATTAATTTTATACATTAAGAATATTTATGCATATTTTGATTACTTCTAAAGTTCTAACACTTTGTTAGGTTGAACAACTATACATTAATATGATCAACCGATTACTAAAGAATTTAAAGATTACGTAGCTGGTAGCTATGATTTAAAATTGATGTATATTTACATGAAATATGCATTCATTGATTTGGTTGATAATATGAAGAATTAAGGTGATGTATTATCAATGCAAAATAAATTAAATGTTGACATAAAAAAGACTAGTTAGTGAAATTATTCATTGCAAGCACCATTGATTTTGATTGACTTGACTAATTGATCAAAACTTAGGGATATGTTTAATATATAATTATTATAATATTAATTTATTTATAATATTTTCAAATTAATCATTACTACATTAATATTTATTGAAATTTATGAATTTTAGATTATAGATATAATATTTAATCACCGGTTAATCGTATAGTTCTTTGCTCAACACTGCAGCCAATATATAGAACAAAACCATATTATCGATTATTTGGAATGTACCAATATCATTACTGACTGCTCAGTATTGCGAGTTGGTGATTTGGTACATATTATACATAATTGACAAAGACGATACACAAATCGATGAAGGTATATCACGCACTCTCTCTCTCTGGATATGGAGTCACGTTGTTTTTCGAAACCTTTTACCTAACTAACGAAATAAAACGTCCAACAACTAAGTACCTATGCAAACAGTATCGTTAGGAAATCAGAAAATTGCGAGGTATTCTAATTGTCGCATGCTGCCTGTATCGCAGAACCCCATACCTACGTATTTACTATAAATTTGCCACCAATACAATATTTATCGTAACTTGATAAATGCATGATTGCGAGCAACAACAGTGCCATGGCATATCCCATCAATTATTTGGTGGCGCATCTTTGTTGTTTTATTTTTACACTAGATATGGGAGCTTTGTATATATACTCGTATATTATGTTGTTGAATTGATACATTTTATGCTCCATGATGATGCAACAATGACCCATTAACCTCTAATCATGCCTAATCGTTGATTGTTTGATGCTGCATAGACCACTGTTGCCCCTCAAATCGGGTCAATACTTAATGGTTGTCGTGATAAAGTCTATTACTGATGTCTTATATATATATCTTAAATTAAAAAAACCTCAGTGATTCATATTTGTTTTTAAGTTTCAACAAAGCGTTATTGTTCGATTTATGCAACTTTTGCTACCAAATTACTTGTTTTAAGTTGGCGCAATTACTGAGTTACTTTAATAGTACTTTTTAGCCTATAGAGCTATAGGTATAATTACATATTTTTTCACTAGTCCTATATTGGCATGTTGGCACACTTTTAGTGCATATTTTTTATGTAACTTTCCACTATCATTTTAATGGTTTTTTCTCCAGACCATTTTTATTCTTGACCATATTTTCTTCTGGCCAATTTTTTTTTTTTATAAGAATTTAACTCACTATCTGGAGTAGAAGTCAACATTGTGTCTACGCCTATGTAGGTTACACCGTTAGATAAACCTGGCGTTTTTAAGTGGCTTATTTGAACGTAATGACTATGTAATCGATAATCAGCGATATAGTTATAGTTACTCGGGTCGCAACTCACTTATCTACAACTAAATCGTTATCGAGACGGTATTCACCGGTCTCCGTGGACGTCGTAAACAACACGTCGGACCGCAACTCACCCACAGCCCAATGTATAGTGTTCATTGTACTATTGTAATTTGTAGATAATAATATGGGGAACGCATAAATAATTATCACATTCACATAAGGGCCGATAATATTATATTATGTCCAAAACACAGCAGTGGTCAGTGGGTAAAATGCAATAATAATTATTACCTCCCCTAGCGCCTAGATCGTCTGTTTTCAACCATTTTTATTCGTAGAATTAAAATATTTCTATAACATAATATATTTCAAATTTATACGATATTATCCATGCACTATCACGATCTTTTTGAAATTTGAATTTGGCGCTCTTGCATTTATTTAAATTATCAACCTTATTCATTGTCGCTTAGCCGTGCTGTATAGGCGCAGCTGCCGTTACTAAATTGTTAACAACAACCTCGGCCCATGGTGGTGCGTAAATCAAATATTAGATTTCATTTCAAGCAAAGGTAAGTGCAGCTTTCATTAGACTTAATTTAATATGTTGGTATAATTAATAATTATGAACTATGATACAATTTGTGCGCATTAAGCTCTCAAAGTGTTTTTACAGAGAAAAAGTGTACACGCGCTATGTATGGTACGATTATAATAATCTTTTATAATCTGCGAAGTATATAATGTAATTTTTCACTCTAAACTTAACTTCAAAGTTCTAACAATCAGAATATCTATAAAACTGCTTTATCCATACAATAATATTATGGTCATCAAATATTTCGTGCGAAATATAATTAAATAGTCATAAACAGTAGGGCGTTAAACAACTGTTGATTGTTTAAAATTGATTATTTCTTTAGTATTTTTTTTTTTTTTTTAACAATCGCAGCACATTATATGGAATTATGTAGTTGTTTACAAACTCCTGAGTGTATTGTAAGACAACAGTACCGTTTTATACTGTGTATAATATTATAGTCTTGAAACATGAAAACTCTAAAGTAGAGGTAGGTATAGTGAATTACAAAGTCTACTATA